CATCTATTCTTGCAGAAGCCACCATCAAGATCTGGGGCAGCACCGGGCTAAGTGCTGCACAAAGCACGAGAAACAAACCCTGCTCTAAGGAGAGTGAAATCCTTCTTCAAACCTTTACAACTCACTAATCTCTACACACTTTTATAAATTGCATTTAAATATAGTTTTCTCCTCACTCATGTCCCAGATTTAACGGAGCGATGATATATTGAGGTCTCATTAAAAAGCCTTTATTACCTTCACAAGCCATGGCATGTTACCTTATCTAGTATCAAATGCTGAAAATACTACAGACCTCAGAATCCATCTGACCTGATAGAAGAACTAACATTATTCCAGGGACTTCACAGGACAGGGTCTAAACTCTGTGCCTCTCTAAAACATTTGTAGGCTTGTATTTTTCCTCAGAAAAATCCACCAGCATAAGCAGAAAAAGACGATGTGTACCACCTGCCAGCTACCTGCCTTCTTGGTCACTTACTCGTTTGACAAATTCAGGGATCCCTAATGGTTTCCACCAGTAATTTAGCAGTTCCTGAATCCCATCTTTTCTAGGCAACCTGGTTATAAACTAGGAATGCTTGGGGACGCTATGGCTATCGTCTCGATAACCTCGTTACGGACAATCACACTTCTAGATGCTAAAAGCTACTCTTCAGAGGCGCACTGGGGTGGCAAAGGCTGATTTCCTCCAGGTGAAGACCTCTCTGTCTCCTCCAGCCGTGATCGACGTCCCTGCAGACATTCGCTGCAGGACGTGACCAGGGGTCAAGACGATCACCTGTATTCTTGTGCTCAGGGAACCAGGGAATAATCTCACAGTAAATAAATCTACTGCAGTTTTACAGACTCCTATTTTGAAAGCTTCCAAAGCTGAAAGAAGTGGCAGACATTGCAGAAAAAACAACCTTTTCAGAAACACATATACATACGTACACAAATCTTCTTTCTAGCTTTGGAGTGAACGTATTCACCTTATCCCCAGTGCCTGCCAGGTTAATGCGGCTTCAGGTGGTATCTTTCTGTGAGGGCACAACTTCAACAGGGTGTATAAATACAGATTTTTATATTTATCTCACTGTTTTAACCCTGCTTCCCCACAAAGTATAGACAAGCAGAAGAAAAAGGCAACAGGGACAGAGCCTGCGTGAGTGTCTGTAAGCGCACCAGCCTGCTGGGGGGAGAGGCTGTTAGCACACCGCTTCTAAAACACTGCAACTTACTGAACTCCTAAAGAGGTGCTGAGAGCAAGTCAGATGGTCAATAACACAAAGTAAACGTAATATTAAGTACAAATATCAACTCATGCTAAAGTTAATGACAGGCTGGGGACAGCTGTTTTGTAGGCTTGTATGAGAAATGCTATATAAAGGCTCTGTCACAGCTTCATTTCTTGTAACACAGAAATATAGCACTCTTCAGGACCTTACAAGGAAAAGATATTCCTTTCCTTCAAAATAGCATTATTATCTCGGAGAAATGTTAGAAAATCCATATACTGCGATATTACTTGGCTCACATATGGCTTTTTATCCCTAGAACTCAGAAGCTTTCTACAAAGAAAGTCAATATCATCAACTGCGTTTTCCAAACTGGAGCAGAGAAAGAAAAAGCCGGCATGTGGGAAGGTCACCCAGCAGGCCAGCAGCGCAGCGGGAATAGGGGGCTGAGACAGTGAGAAAGTGGTGTATCTAATACGACCAAATTCTAAAAATACAGAACGTGAGTCTGGGGAGGAATACGAAATATAGCAGCCCTTGAGGACTACTCAGGCAGCTGCCTTATCACCCAGCTCCTGTGAAGTCTGTCCATCTCGTGTCACGTCTCACTCCGCCTGGTTCTCAACATCTACAGCACAGCATTTCGTAGCTGCTGCGAAGTTTCAAGAGCCACCAGAAGTACCCAAACAAACCAGGCCTCCAATACAAAATCACCTGCCTTTCTGCTAAGCCACAAACTAGAAACAAGCTGTTTTTAAAGGACATGAAAGTACAAACGATAAATGTACAAAAGACAATAAAAGGAGTGTCAAAGGACTGAAGCTACTCAGATGCCCGGAATAAACCAATAATGACAGAAATATTAAAAATACAGTTTCTGCCCTACCTTATATTTACAGTATAGGAGGGCATTCAACTTCCATACATTTAGAAAGACCTTTAGTTTATTTCTAAGCTCTGGAAACAAAGCACTTACATAAATTAATAATAAGCACTTCAAAATCTATTGCAGATAAAAAGGGGAGGGAGAGTAGGGACGACTTGTGTATGTTCATCTAACTGTGAGCGCATAAATCGCCTTTTCCCAAAGTACAAAACCATGTACAAAGGCAAAGTTCAAGAGACAAATGAATAAGCACCACCAGCCTGTCGACTGTGTCAGAATTTCCCAAGCTCTCCACAGAGTTGCTCGCCTCAGCATTTGCTCACCTGGCAGAACGTGAAATTCATTTAAAGCGACCAAGCCCTGCACCCAGGCAGGTCTCCAGCTGTCTGCCTCAGGAAGCAACGGAGAGCAGAGAACGACACAGCTATGGCCAACTCCTCCAAGCCCCCGCAGCCTCCGTTCCCCAGAGGCTGAAATCGCAAGCAGCCACAAAACCTGAAGTCTGCAATTTAAACAGCTAAAAACCAAAAATTAAATGCATTATGCCACTACGAGGAACTCGCATACCACGTAAGGAGCACGCTCCGGGAAAAGGCTAAAGCAGAGGCTGCTAAAAATGCAAAACGAAGGAAGAGAGCAAGGCAAAAAGTCTCCAGGCTTAAAATGCTCAGGAAAAAGACAGAATATAGTAGAGGCACTGGTTAAACAGAGTAGAAAGTGACAGTGTTGAACGCTGTCCTGTAAATATTACCTTCTGACTGGACATCAGGCAGAGGTTGAAAGTGGAAATTTGATTCACTCAACACAATAAAGGTGAGCAAGTGAGGTTTTTCTACTCATCTACAATGTATTCGGAGGACCATGAGGTCAAAACAACGCTGTAAGCACAAATCCAAGCCTTTCTAAATACAGGTTCAGTAGCTTTACATGTAGCCCTGTGCTTCATCACACCAAATCACTGCGCAGCAAATCTTAGCTCTGAATCTTCTTGTTTATCGTCCATTAAATCTCTTTCTTTATAGCCACCTCGACTGTTCAGTTTTTATATCGCCTGCAGAGAGCTGTGCAAGAGGACATACCCTAAAAAACGAATTGATAGCCCAGTGGGAGGAACATTATGCATAACGTGTAGGTAGCAGTATAGAACTGAACACTGAACAACGTCCGTGAGCACAACAGCCTCGACGAGAACAGGGAAAGTATCAAGCCAGAGCAGGTGAACTTTCACTTCATTGCAAATCAACAACGGAAAAGCACACTAACAAATGAGGGATGCCAGCTGTCTTGGGTTACAGGAGGAGACGCTGCATTACAGACTCACATTCCCGAGATACACCTTGAGGTTACAGACAGCACGGTGTCAAACAGTGATTTACGCAAGGCTCCTGGCTCTAGGGTGTCGAGCAGCACGCGCTGAGGCCGGAGCATGCGCCGCTGGCTGAGTAACACTGATTAAAACAGACAGTGCTCTCAGGCAGGCGGCACCGGCATGAGCTGCTGGGCAAGGTGGAGAGAAGGAAAAAATCCCCACGTAGGAGAAACATACTTAGGAAGTGACAACTGCAAAAAGTCAAAGTATTATATGGGGTTTAATGATGCTTTTAAAAAAGTAACACATAGTACTTTGTTCCCCTGTTTAAAATTAAAATAAATACCTGGCTTGTAGGGTGTTTATTACCTCCACATTTTCTGAACGTTGTATAAAGAACAGCTAATCCAAAATCTATTTCACTTGACCCAACCAGATATTAATGGTGCTTTAAACTTCAAATAATCCACTGGGACAAATACCCCTCAGCCCCATACATCAGAGGAATCTGACTGTCCTGCAGCAGAGCTAAATCTAGCCCATTTCTCACGCTGTTGCTGCACTGCCGGCAGTGCAGGAGCAGACAACATACAGCTCTTCCAGGCTGAAGCCCTGCCACTGCCACCTGATCCAATGAGAGGGAAAAAAAGGCCACATCAGAGTAAGTAACTTCAGCCACACTGCTGGACTGCACCCCAAGAGCACCACTGCTGTCCTGGAATATCCAGACCTTCCCCCTGTCCAGGGTCTGTTGCAGAATGCAACTTCCTCTTCAGCTTAGTATGCTAGCAGGACAATTTAGAAAATCTGAAAATAACAACCAAGATACAATTTCCAGACACTCTTATACTGAAATAAGGTAGGTCAAGCTTTGCTGAGGTAAGATAACTTCACAAAATCACCTCATCAGATTGCTCTATTTGTCAGCTAATAAAATCACATCCAACCTTCCAAGCTCAGCAAATGCTAGAGGGGGTTGGGAAGGCAGAACTGCAGGTACTCTACTCGCTCATTTGAGAAGAAAATAACTAAATCAAGGTAATAGAGTTATCTGTGGCCGACTGTATGTGGCCCACAAATTGCTGTAGTGTCTTTAAGTATGAGAACAGCATCTTTGTGGTTGCTTTTCTGCAATTCTGTTCCCTCTGATGGTAGGTTAGCTTTCAGGCTGATATTTTATTTCTGTAGACTTAGCCAGCATTTTGCTAAAAATCCTATTCTTCCATAAATTTGCATGCTTCAAAGAGCATGTTTTTATAAGAAGTTCCCTTCATGCTCAAAAGTCTTGCTGAAAAAGAGGTTAATGCAGACTGAAAATTCTTGTGACATTACGGACCTTTTAATTGCTTACTAGACCTGCTTTGGGGCACATATTAATAGGGCAGAAGCGTTACGCATGCTCCTTCTCTCTCTCCTTGACAAACTGCCAGAGGAAGGAAAGTACTATGGTCTTGTTGAAAGGACTAGGCAATCCTTTTAAAAATCTGAAAGTCAGGAAATATAAATCAATGTGTAACTAGACTATAAGAGTAGATCATTCAGAACTGAAAATAATGCATAAAGAAAACGCAACAAGGTGCTTTACCATAGCGCTGAGCGTCTCCTCCCAATCTGGCCTCTCTCTTGGATGGATGCTTCTCTGAAGCTCTGGCACAAAGTCATCTTCTTCGGAATGTACAGAGGACTTCATCATTCTGGAAAGGAGGACAGAGGGGTTTGATACTCAGTGACAACTTCTGGGTAGTCATACACGCAGTCTATTATGGTGCTCAGTTATGTGGCTCATATGGCAATATAAATGCTTTTATAAATCCAGAAATCTTACAGACATCTAAGCTTCCCCTACTTCCTCATTATACAAGCAGGACAAGCGCATAAATCTGGTGGAGCGAAATCTGCACCTCCTAACCAATCAATGGATAATTCTGTATAATCACTGCACAATTTGCAAGTCTTCAAACACAGGAAAATATGGAGGAATAAGTTTCAGTCCATGTCAAAAAATTGCTTACATCGTCCAGGCAAACAACTTAATAGACACATTTGACTCACTACATGTTTTGCCTAAAACAGAGACAGCAGTTTCCACATCTTACCCTGAATTCACATCCTAAGGCCTGAGCCATCAGCTCTCATATTCTTACTGATCCTGTATGAAGGGTGAGCACCTTCACCCGCTCCGACTCTGCAGGGATGCGCTCAAATCAGTCACATTTTACCAAGGTAAACTTTTATTCAGCTAAGGAGCCATCTTTCAAATACCATATGAAGTATATTTCAAGCCTGCAGAGATCAGAGGCTCAAAATTAAAATCTAAAAAGTATTCCGGAAAGCTTCTCAGCCTATCCTTATGACAGTCCTGCTGCTACCGCCAGAGTGAGCCAATATATATTACACCTGCAGGCCATATAAATGTGCCTTTGCAGAGATTACAGCTCAGACCTGAAGTAGCAAAGGCCTGTTGAAGGTCTGGTATTATCTCATCCATTCTGCTTTCATGAAATATGAGATTCAGGCAGGCTTTTATTTTATTAATAGATCACCATTTATTTACTTAGAGTAACTGTCTTGATAACCAACACTGCATGCAGCAGGGCTGGCTTCGCTAAGTGTTAGCTGTGCTGATTTATGCCTCCGTTGACTAAAACAAAGCATGGTGAAAGGCACTTTAGAAAACTCCTTTGTTTCAGGATCAAGCTCTGAAGTTCTGAAACCCCTACATGGTGTCTGCCACAACGCCCTAAGTGGCTGGGCCAAAGCGTTTAACTCTCCTTTGCACTCTACATGCGGGTTAAGAATGAAGTAATTAACACCCACAGTAATAGCATGGCTGGGTTACAACATTCTATCCCACATAATTTTATACCGAGCTTTGTGATCACATTTCTGCTCTAATAAAAACCACATCCCAGAGAACATGGGACTCAAACCCAGAAGTCATAACGCCTCAGGCTAACGCTGCTAAACGGTTCCGTGTGCCATTCCCACCTCAAACATCACCAGTCCAAAGCACGCTGTCCCGTATAAGGCAAGAAAAAATACACCTACGTGGTGAAATCTGTATATATCTGCATGAAAACTTTCATGAAAATACCATGATTTAGAACATAGAAGTTCTAAATGCCAGCTCAGATGGGAGACTCATACCTTTGCAACATATCTGTCCAAAAGAATTTGATTTTTGTAAACCTGAAAATTTGTTGCTCAGAGTGGCAGGGCTTTCATTTCTGTTTCTTTGCTTATCAAGAGTGAGAAGATTTGGCCTGTTTCTCACAACCCCAGCTCCACCACAAGAGAAGTTTGCCACTTTGCCTAAAAGTTGAAACCTGCTGGGTGCAGAGAAAACCAGATTGTGCACCTTGAAACCAAGAGGTAAACTAAAAAAAAAAAAATCCTAATTTTTTTAAATTCAACCTTATGATTTTGAAAAAGGCACAATAAGGCTTTCCTCAGGATTTCTAGATGTTTGAATTTTCCAATACTGCAGTTGTACAAAAAGATTCTAAACAAATCATTCCACAGCAGCTTTAGTCTAATGCCATCGGACAGCAGTTAGCCTAACTCCATCAGGCGACGGAATGAAAGGAAGGGGAACACGATCAAGACCCACCTTTCTACACCACGGTTAAAAGAGCCAGCTTATCAAAACGCATGCTTTCTCAGTTTAAGCACTCGAAAATAATGAGATTGAATTTACAACTTTATCAGCACTTTGGATTACAAATGAATTTACTCCACAACTCCTCAGGCTTATGGCAATTCCTCCTGGATTTCTCATCAGAAATCTGGTTTCCTTTCCAGAAGCAGATTTTCTGGATGTCTAAAATGTCGCCAGTAACGCAGGGCTGCCCGGGGACACAGCTCCTCCTGCCATTAGGCAAGCAAAATTCACAAGCTTTGACTACGCTCTCTGCCAAACTACCGACCTCCATTCACACAAAGTCCCTGACAGGCCATTTAGGTTCAGTGTAAGGCAGGCATCACTTTCTAGAAAATTTACCCACAAAGCAGGAGAGGGCAGAGATCGGTAATTAAGATTATAAAATCGATGTCCACAAACACGCTATATGTATTACACAAGCTCTATGCTTAGCCTGGTTACAGGGAACACTATTTCAGTTACTCCTGGAAAGATGCTTCAAATACTGGTGTTGCCTGTGGTGGTAATATAAAGTGAGCAGAAGAATACGCCCTACTATAAAATAAGCTCAGGAATTGGGCCCATGCTCTGGATCTCTGCCCTCATAGTGAACAAACATGGATGTCATAGTACCCAGCCCTTTTTACTAGGCTCCAATCTATTTACTCACATTATTTGTTTAATCTGATTACGCCTATAAAACTCCACGACAACCTCTTCCCAAACCCTTCCCTCACTGAGATTCTGAAATACAGTCCAATTATTCTTCCTAATGAAGGTGCTCTGGACTTTCACTGGTAATAAGAAAAGCTCTGCGTGTAAAATTGCATATTTAAAATAGTCAATTCTTTGAGCATTTGCCAGATTTGCTTAACAGAATATTCTACTAGTGATGGAAATACTTCATCACAGTACCACAAAAAATATTGGAAACTATTTTTCAATAGATTTTCTCTCTAACACAATTATAAACATCCAATAACCTTCTGTAAATCCTTATTAATCTTTAATAGTAACTATTTAATTCCATGCAATCTGAGACGAGACCAAGGAAGGCTGAAGATGCTATAGGTAATATTAGTCCCTTATAGATTAAGTCTAGAGGCTTTTTCCTCCCTGCCCCTGATTTGGATGAAGGAAAACAACCTTGTGAGCTAGCAGCACTGAAACATGGACAGGAGTAGGGCCAGACAGGGGGAAGAAGAAGAAGAAGAAAAGCAGCTACTCAAGACACTCCCCTTTTTACATTCTTTCAACAGACTTCACAAGAACTCTGCATTCTCAAGGATGACACCGAGAATGAAACCCAAGCTCAGGGTCCCAGGGAAAGCTGTCATGAAAAGATTCACAGGGCTGGCATCCATCTGCAACACCACGTCTAAGCATTACTTCATCGTACAGCCTCAGCTCATCTTCTGGACTTTCTGCAGCAACTCAGAGATTCATCATCAAAGACGCAGCCCTGTATTTTGTTGGGAGCCCCATTATAAGCCCCAAAATGAGAAACCAGTGACAGCGTAACTGGGAAAGAGCCACACTGGTTGCAGTCACTGAAGGGATCACCAAAAATGTCCTCTGGGCATGGAAAACCTTAGAGCCACACAGCTGGGGGAAGGGACCTTTCCAGCAGTCAGACGTTGTGCTTTTCTCTGGCGTTACCCCAATGCCACTTCTTCAACTGCTTAACAGCTCTGATGTCCTTCAAATGAAATCTGACACCATTATATTAATAAAAGTTCGGCTGTGTAGAGGCCATTAAGCAATCTCTCTTCAGATGAATGAATCCTTCTTCATTGTAAATTGAGAATCAAATGTACTGGAACAAATGTTTACAGGACATTTCACAAAAGGCACAGCCCGCATTCCCACCCATTCTTTAAAGTTCCCTGGGCGGTCAGGTTGATGAATTTCAAGTCACAGCTTGCACATCATACAATTATATCAAGAAAACATCTAATGTCCTTTTCCATGTTCTTTGCTGGTCCCATCATTTATGGTGGGACCATATTTGCTTATCAGGAATTAAAATATTTCGGTGCTGTTCTCCTGTGACTGTGGCCCTGCATTACCGGGCATTAAGTCCCACCCGCACACACTAAGCAGCGTATGGCAACGCCTCACAGGGCGGAAAGCACCTACAACAGATAAGCACAGATGCTTTCTAGGATGAGTAAATTAATCTTCAGCCTGATGCCCACCAACTCTACTGCTATGTTGTGTTTATAATATTGTAAATATTGAACACTACTTCTATTAGACAATAACCTTCCCTGCGGGTTTGAAGCAGACCCGCACCCACAAACATCAAGTGTTTCCACACTTCCGTTTGCACAAGAGAGAAAGAATCATAAAAAGTGGGTATGTAGAAACAAGTCCTTTCTACATACATACATAGAGGGGAGGAGAAAGGACACAAAATTCAAAATATTCTGCGATTCCTACAAGAATGTTTCTTCCCCTTGTTTAGGTCATTTGGCACGTACCGTGTCCCACTGGTAGACCACAACACAGTTGTCACGGACCTGATGGCATCTAGATGCTGACGACACGCAGATTAACAGCTCTCCTCTGGGAGGACACGAGGGCGCTGACAAATTACTTTCAGAGGTGCCCGATGGTTCGAAAGCCATGTGCTAGCGTGGAAGCACGCCGCATTCTGAATGTCAGCCTCCTCGTGTGGGGCAGTTAATTGTCTGCTTGACAGATACTCATTTTGGACCGGCTATATATTTTTTAAATTAAATGCCAAGCGTGTTCTTTAGGTTGTGCTCCCCTATGGGGACACTGGGCGTTTCAGCGTTCCTTGCTGCTTCTCCCTCAAACGGTTTTTCTTTCTGACCTCAATTTAGGAAGTGACAGCCGATGATAACTGATTTATTAGTTTATTTATTATTTATATAGCACTGTTGTTGTGCCTGGAGACTTCTCAGCCAATGTAAAAGCACAGCTATTCCCTACAGTACCAACGATTCAAGAGGGTTTAGAGCTCCACAGAATGTGCTTTTTCTGAGATACAAATTTTACCCAAAAAGCAAAATTTAAATAAAGCCTGTG